GAGAGAGAGAGAGAGAGAGAGAGAGAGAGAGAGAGAGAGAGAGAGATATGAAGCCCGAAGAGGAGAGCACGGCCGACAGCCGACAGCTTGGGTCGTTCGTGGCGCACAAACCCCGGCCTGGGGGCGCGATCAACATCATCTGGAAGTTGACGGATCGAGAGGCAAAAATGGGGATGTAGGGTGGGGGCTTCGGCCTGCCGCCCGCGACGCTGTCGAACTACTATGCCGGATCGTCCCCGTGACGTCCCCCCGCGCGTCCCGTCAAGCACGCGATCTACTTGCCGTTGCGTCGCGTGTCGGGCGAGGTGCGGCGGTGGCGTCACAGTGCGTCACCCGTCAGCCGCAGCAGAAGGGGATCTAGAGAGGACTACGCTGCGGTTATTGGCTGCTCCAGGACATCGACATTGGAGAGGAGAGTCCCTTCGGGAGGCCCAGTCTGCTACCATGAACTGCAGCACGCTGCCGCCGCAGCCGCCGAGCCGCCGTATTGTCGCTCGTCAGTTCGGTGTTCCCTTTGCGGTGGGTACGTTTTGCCCTGTCGGCAGATCGTGTACTCGTTCTCATTCTCTCCGTGTCGCGCGGTGTCGGGTGGCGTGGGGTGGGGCGCGGTGGGCAGCTGTGAGGCGGGGCGGGGTGCTCGGTTTGATAAACGGGTGCCGCCGCGCCGCCAACAAACAAGAAAACAGATGAACGCGGAGAGGGCCCCGCGCGCCCTGTTGTAGTACGTCTGGCAATGAATCTCCAAAGGATCTCATCACAGCCGCCAGGCCGCGGCTCCAAACTGGGCGCGGGGAGAGTAAAAAAGGACAATGCCTACTTCTCATTCCACTCCTCCTGGACCTGACATGGCAGCTAGAAATAATGTAGAACACACGCTCAAAAAACAAGCAGCGGTAATGTTTGTAACGAGAGACTGTTTTGATTGGGGTGCGGACTATTCTGCACGGGCGTGACAAGGGGTGGGCTTTAGGGTTGGGCAGAGAGGGGAGGGGGGATAGGGTACAAAAGATACCAGGGCAGACAGGCAGTCAAGATTTGATGGGCCTTCCAAAGCGTCGGTCGGTTGTCCTTTGATGTCGCATACAGACCCGGGGTCCGCGGAGGGTAAGTCCGGGGGTGGCGGAGGAAGGGGGTGCGGGCTACCCTCCCTTCATATCTCCGTTCTTCTTAGCCCCCTTTTCACTCGGTTCTGAGCAAAGCCCTTATTTCTTGCCTTCTCCTTTTTTCCCCACAAAAGCTTTCCTTGCAAGTTGCACGAGGGCCGGGTCGATGTCGAATCGGCCGGTGGTCGGCACAAGTGCCGCACCCAAGACATTGCGAGAGCAAGAAAGAGAGAGTGGTAGATGTTGGAGAGAGGTGCAAGGCAGTAGGGACTATTAGGACCGTCGTTTACTATCTTGTCCGTCGGTCGATTTACTTTCAAACACTTCAAAACGTGGTGAAAGTAACGTGTTGGGAGGAAAAGGCGAATTTAACATCTAGTTTCAGGAGAGAAAAGGATGAGCGTGAATTACGCAACATTTATGAGTCACTCAAATGTTAGCGCCAGCAGCAGTAGGGTCCCAAGCACGAGGATTCGTGGGATTTCTCGAAGTCATATTTTGTACTTTTCAGCTCACAACATGATGAAACCCTCGTTTATACAACGGTGTGAGTGGTTTGAAGCACCTGGACTGTTTGGGCGGCTGGGGTGGCGACGAAACGACGAAATGACCAAAGCCGCCGGGCGTGGCGAGGTAGGGAAGGGAGGCGGATGGGGGCGCAGCAGGAGCGGCCCGAACGGTCGGCGAGCCTAAAAAATGGGCAATCACGGAAAATATAAGCTCATCCCCTCGGCCCTCGGTCTGCCTGGGATGGGACAGGGTGGTAGCGGGGTGGGTGGCTAGGAGGGGACCGCTGATGGCCGTTAGGCGAGACGGGCGGTTTGGCTACTCCACGCCGGAGATATCTGCCAAGTCTAGATAAAAAATTAAGCATTCTCTCATCACAATCATTTCGCAAAACTGCCAATATCTAAATACTGACAATTTGTACAAGAGTTTTCGTCTTTGCAGCAACACCACTCGCCCCTCCCTACTCTCTCTGTCTCTACTCCGGGACTCCCATCCGACCAGTGAGTATGAATTGTAAATGGTTCTGCTCGGCACAACATATACGCGACGTAATGAAAATGGGATGAAAAAAAAAGGAAACAGTGTATGGATTCCCCCATCCAGACGACAGTCCCCGCCCAGTTCAATTTCAATTTTCATTCCACCCCTGACGCTCGACTAAAAAAAGTTCCGATCAGTCATCACCACGAAGTCCTCATTAAAACAACTCGAGTAGGAGCGAGGAACCGTCGTGCCATGCTACGCCCGCGACCCGTGGCTCCCCCAAGTTTGTCTGGATCGGAAAGTCTTCTTGCAGCGATACCCTTTAAGGGTCGCTTCGGACCTCAGCGTTATTTCTCCCACCGCCGTGTCGCTTCATGAGACGAGGAAAAGAAGAGGATTGGTTGAATGGGGGGAGGGGAGGGTGGAAAGGAACCTGGACTCAGGCAGCCTATCAGATAGCTGCAAACGGGGGGACAAAGATGTCATTTTTTCGTTCCCCGTCCCTCGGTCCGTCGTGAAGCAGGGGTGGTCTCGGGCTTAGCGCTCGGGGCTAAACCTGTCACCACACAATTATTTCAGCATTTCACCCTAACGCACCCACAGCTGCCCTCCTGATTTAGAAAATATTGGAAGTAAGTTAATGTGCGGTAAGATAAACGAAAACTAACTTGTTCTGTGGCCGAATTTGACCGAGCAATGGCCCAGAAACGACTACATAGCTCACACGGTAGTAACTTTGCCGTCTAGCGAACATTTTAGATGGGACGTGCGGAAATAAGCGAGTGACAGCTACAGTGAACATCCTGGAGGGATCCGCCATAGTACGACTCAACAGCACCGCAAGGAAAGTGACTGGAGCGTGACAACGATCAGCCCGAGACAGAGCTGTTTGTCATCAAAGCGAGGAAAGAAGTCCGCCCGCGCGCACCTAATCATATAATTTCAGATCAAAGAAATATCCGTTGAGACCAAGCGGTTAGTTAGACCAGATCACTTCCGTTTCCGGTTCGCTTCCGGTCCACTCCATCAGTAGTTGGTAGGGGCGTTCGCTAACTGCCCCCAGCAGCGCAGTCCCGCCCCATCATGGTACAAACACTGCAGTAGAAAGCAGCAGTTCCAAACTGCCAATGAAAAGTGTGATGGGGCAAGTGAGCCCAGCGCATAGTCGCAACATTTCGGAGCGCAGTGTTTGCATAACCCAAAGTTGTTGTGGACGAAATAATTCGTGTCTGTTGAGCGGTCCTCACCTTCGAAGTAGAAGGTCTCGTTCCACCGCGGGTTGAGGGTCCGTCTCTTGATCTTGGTCTCCAGGCGGTGCTTCTTGTCCGGAAGCAGCGTTACCCTTACGTACGGGTCAGACGTGCCGGACATATCCTTGGCGGGCAGCTCCTTGGCCTGCGAAACACACAAAAAAATATGACATAAAATACACAAAGTTGTAAGAAGGGAGAGTTACGAACTCGCAGTAACGTGGGTAAGGGGAGGAACAGAAAGCAGAGCGCGGTCCCCATCCTATAGGCCGTCCGTCTTGGCGCGTCCCTCCGAGCGACAATGGCCGTGCCTCTCCTCGCTCCCTGCTTTAGTAATTAAAGGGAAGCTGATTTAAACCCCCCCCCCTCT